TGAAACTTGAAGTTAAGGACCAAATGTCCTTAACTTTTGAACTACAATTTTGAAGTTCAAGACCTATTGTACCTTAACTTTTGAACTTCAAACTTTAAGTTAAGGACTGCTTGTCCTTAACTTTTTTACGTGACACTTGAAATTCAGAATAACATAACACTACCTTCTTGTGTTTTTTCAAGAGACAATTCAGCTAAGATATTACTTGCATCATTTTCTTTTTCTTCCAATTGCACATTTTCATCATCTTGCAATTGTTCACCCTGTGCTTCAGTTGCTTGTTCACAAGATTCTGCAAAAATATTTACAAGAGCTAACACAATTAGTACTTGTTAATAATTTTTGATAAAACAAACATATATAAAATAAAATAAAATACTGTCTAACCATTTGCAATAGTCAAGATCATCCCAATTATATCATTATCTTCACTAGCATTTTCTTCGGTTCCAATATCGTCGTTAAGAGAGGGAGGTCTAGAGATATCACATGTTGCATTTATACATTTGGAACCAATCTCACTTCTGCTTGTTCCTTCAGTATTTTGTACGTGTTGAGATTGTATTCCACTTTTCTCTTGATACTCCACTCCAGCTTCTTCCCTTCCAGCTTCAAAAGATTCTGTAACATTTGCAATTAATACCCATTCTAATAATTCACTGAAACTAACATACAATATATAATGAAAATTTTATCTAACCTTGATTGGCACAACTTTGAAATCCAAATTTTTCTTTGTATGACAGAGGTGTAGAAAGATCATATGTTCCTTCTAAGCATTTGCATACAATCCCGCTGACACTTGTTCCCAATGGACTTGATAAATCCTCCTGAGATTGCAATCCACATTTATAAATTTTTTCTGTTTCTCCTTTCTCTTTTGGATTTTCCCGGTCTTGAAATTCACCTACATCTTCAACTTCCACTCCATCAGTAGATTCTACAAACATTTGTAATCACAAAAAAGTTTATATGTATTTCTCTATTCAATATAAATTTCAAAAAAAAAAATTCAAAATCTATATCTAACCTTTCCCAATATCAGTAACGTTCTCAGTTTCATCATCTAGATGTGCATCTCTAAAATCGCTTTCATACTGCACTTCTGCATCCACAACCATATCATCACGTTCATCACCGCCTGCATCTTCGTTGATTGTAACAATAGGCTCTGTAGCACGACAATCATCATCAACTCCATCTTTTCTAATTGGAACACTAGATTCTCTATCTGTGTTCATTTGATCAGCTTTCCCAAAAATGTTCAACAAAGTATCAAGCTTTGATCCTAGAGTTTTCTTTAAATCCTGAGAAAGAAACTAAGTTAGAAAGTTAAGGACAGGTTCAAAATTTAAGGACAGGCAGTCCTTAAGTTTGATTTACAGGTTGAAAAGTTAAGGACAGGCAGTCCTTAACTTTGAATTCCAAGTTCAAAACATAAGGACAAGAAGTCCTTAAGTTTCATTTCCAAGTTCAAAAGTTAAGGACAGGCAGTCCTTAACTTTGAATTCCAAGTTCACAAATTAAGGACAAGAAGTCCTTAACTTTGAATTCCAAGTTCAAAACTTAAGGACAAGAAGTCCTTAAGTTTCATTTCCAAGTTCAAAAGTTAAGGACAGGCAGTCCTTAACTTTGAATTCCAAGTTCAAAAGTTAAGGACAACAAGTCCTTAACTTTCAATTCCAAGTTCAAAATTTAATGCACAAAGTCCTAAAGTTAGACTAACTGAAAATACCATGATTTCATTCTCAATCGTTTTTTCTGCTACAGCTATTTTTTGATAAACTCTAGTAACTTCATCTTGCAAATCCTTCTTAAAACTCTCTGATAATCTCTGAATCAAAAAAACATAAAATAAAAAAAAAAGTGTTCGTAAGTAAGAAATAATCAAATAAAAAACTAATACTATTCAAAGGCAGAAACACATACTCTAACAATTTCCTTAAGTATGGCTTCGTCAAATTGTGTGGAAGAAGACCTTGAGCTTTGATCTTGTGAAATTGGATCCTCCACACTAAGAGGCTCTGTATCTTCTTCTTCAATAGGAATGAATGGTGACACCTCGATCAACTTAAACAACTATTATATAAGAAAAAGTAAACATAAGTATTCACAACTAAAACAAATAAACAAAAAAATAGATAGTGATTACATTAACTTACATTTTCATTATGAAAATATTTTCTACAAAGAGCATCAAACTGTGGAGACTTCATTTCAGAATAACATAACATCCGAGGATAACCAGATTCTTTGAAGTTCACAAATTGTTTTTCTTGGAAAATAGGAAGTACTTCCATAATCCAAACACAAAAGGCAAAAGGAAAGCCAACTATAGTGTAGCCATCCTTCTCTTTATCTTTGTCTTTCTCCTTCTCAATCTCATTCTCATTTGGCTTGAAACAACTCTTCAATGATTTTAATAGTGTCTCATAAGAAAGAGAGCCCCAGTTGAAGGAAGAGCAGAGTACATCATCGTCGACAATTTTCATTATCTGATCGGACACATTCCTATTCTTCCGCTTGCCCATCAAAACAGATTCAACAAAATAGATTGTTGCCAACTTCAAAGCATCATCATCGCTGCCAACAAATGATGAAGCTGTACCATGTGGGTGACTAGAAATAAAACTAAACAAATCACCCAACTCAATTCTATCCTTTCCAGGGAAATAGACTCTTAAAAGCCTATTCTCTTTCTCATGTAAACCTTTGATGTCGAGCGACGAATAAGACTTCAAACCAGTAATTATGTGAAATGCGTCACGGGTAAACTTAATTTCACGATCAAATATCTTGAATGTCATTGAATCAGGTTCATTATTTACAATTTCTGAAAGCAATATACAGTGAATAAGTTTACCAGAGAACTTTACACTTTGTAATCGGAAGAAGTTGCCAAAAATACCATCCCTCAATTTCTTCCACTGGCTATTCGACAAAAAACCTTTAATTGTTTCCTTATATTGTAAATCTACTTTCCAATACACCATAAAATTACGCCAATCATCAAACTCGAACACACGATCTCCTTCCATTATCACACTACAAAAGAAGGAAAAAGAAAACAAAGATTAGGACTTACAGTTAATTGCAGGGACTTGGTCCTTAACTTCAAGTGTCACATACAAAAGTTAAGGACAAGCAGTCCTTAACTTAAAGTTTAAAGTTCAAAAGTTAAGGACAATAGGTCCTAAACTTAAAATTTGTAGTTACAAAGTTAGACGATTTCGGTCCTTAACTTCAAGTTTCATGTGCAAAAGTTAAGGACAATCAGTCCTTAACTTAAAGTTTAAAGTTCAAAAGTTAAGGACAATAGGTCCTAAACTTCAAATTTGTAGTTCAAAAGTTAAGGACATTTGGTCCTTAACTTCAAGTTTCATGTGCAAAAGTTAAGGACAAATCAGTCCTTAACTTTGAGTTCCAACTTCAAAATTTAATGTCGTTTCTTTCTTATATTTCAGGAACACAGTTAACTAAAAATTCATAAAAACAGTAAGCTTATGAATTTCTACGACTATTTTTATGAAATATACCTACATAATCAAATATATTGAATCAACCACAAACACATTTCACATTTCAACCCTAAAAATTTCTAAATAACACAATCACACTACATCTCCGACACTGAATCAACATATAATGATAATTTTTTGCAATTTCAAACATACTTCACACGGCATTGAACCCGATTACACATTTAGAAATACAAAAATGCATAAAAAAAAAATACATTACCAGTAGCGAACGATTCATAGAAGATGGCGGAGAAGATGAAGGAGCAGGAAGATTAACTGAAGATCCTTTGCATGCGAGAGGATGATGAAGAAGCAGAGAATACGCAACTTGCCCTGAAACCCCTCTCAAATTCTTTTCCCTCGACTGAATGAAAAAAAGGGTTTTTGGGCATTTTGGCATTATAAGCGCATTGAAGAAAGGGTAAATGTGTCTTTTCCCTATTAGTAGTGGCTATTTTTGCTGAGCATTGTAATTAGTGGATAAAAATTAAAGACACCCTTAATTAGTGGCTACTACACGCCATTTCTACTAAATACGCGCATCCTTAACCAGAAGTTTCGGGTTCGAGTTCTGGGAATGGAGTCACCTTTAGTAGCGAGTATTTTACCCCTAAAATGGAACTTTTCCGCCCGATCAAGATTAGACGGGCCCCTAAGCTGGTACTAAACATCGGATACAAAATAAATAAAAAATTTAATTTGGTTTGGACTTAATTGGACCTTCTAAAATCGGTCTCAGAAATAATATAGTTATGTAAAATTATATTATTATATGTATATATGCTAAAATAATATAATAAATATATCCGGTATTTCAGTTTGATCCGTCAAATATTTTTGTAAAAAATTGAAGACCTAACGTAACTACCGCGACATTAAAAAAATCAGGAATTTTGTTGTTCTATTTGGAAATCGATGAACAGTCCTAACCGAAAGTAACCATCATTCAAGGCAAAGGCAAAAACTACCACCTAAAGTAACAATTAACAAAACAATAACAATAAGCGACATGCCAAGAGAACAAAAGAATATGACTATAGTATTAAAATCCCATTCATTCTTGTTTCTTTTAAAATGCAACACCGAGCCACTGCTAAAAAAAATATACTCCCTCCAGTTTACGTGAACCTTTTTTCTTTTTGATCCGTTTTAAAAAGAATGACCCCTTTATAAATTTGGTAACAAAAAAGCTTAAACTTACAATTCTACCCTTAATAAGAAGCTTTTATAACCACACAAATACTCTGGGCCCCTTTTCGGCTTGTTTAGGACCACAAATTCTAAAAGTCTTCATTTTTTCTTAAATTCCGTATGCAGTCAAACAGGTTCACATAAATTGGAACGGATGGAGTATATAATAATAATAATAATAATAATAATAATAATAATAATAATAATAATAATAATAATAATAATAATAATAATAAAGGGACCCCCTCCTAGACCAAGTTGTCTCATTTTCCATTGCCCATGGTCCCTCATAACATGGAGCAAATTAAGCCACTTTTCCCCACTATAAGTTCTCACTTGCTCCTCTCCAAATTCCCACCCTTTTCTTCCTCTCATTTCCCAAAAATCCATATGTCATAAATTCCAAAAGTTTTGTGATTGATTGAAGAAATGGAGATAGAGTTGGCAAAGTGTGAGTGTTGTGGTCTAAAAGAAGATTGCACACAAGAATACATTAGTCAAGTGAAGGAAAATTTTGATGGGAAATGGCTATGTGGACTGTGTTCAGAAGCAGTTAGAGATGAAGTGAACAGAGGAAAAAAGCAGCAATTTCTTTGCATGGAAGAAGCAGTGAAGGCACATATGTCATTTTGTAGAAAATATAAGTCAAATCCAGCAATTAAAGTAGCTGATGGGATGAGGCAGATGCTAAGGAGAAGGTCTGATTTGACATCATCATCATCATCTCCAAATTCCAACAAGTATTCAAGATCAGCAAGTTCATCTCAAGTAGGAGATGCATTCTCTTTCTCCTATTATTAGTTACTTCAACTTTTGGTGGAAAAATAAAAAGGTCTAACAACAACAAGTCTTTTTCATTGGAGAAATCTTTCTTGATCTTGTAGGCGGATTTAGGGGCGCAAGGGTGTTCACCCGAACCCTCTTCGTCGAAAAATTAATTGTATATATAAGGCAAAATCTGATTTTTACCTTTAAGTATTATGTTTTGAATCCCCTTCACACATCCCAAAAGCATGGCTTAGTAGTCAAGGGGGTTATGAGGTCATTGGTTCAAATAGTTTAATTATTTTTCTGTCTTTTATTTTTTATATATATAGCCATGTTCTACTTATTACTTTTCCACTACAATCAACGGAAGAAATCTTCAAAAAAAAAAAAAATCTCCATTATTTCCCTACAATAATGGAGTTTTTTCAAAATTTTCTCCTTTTTGTGACAAAAGTGGGAAAGAAAGTTGATTTAGTTTGTTCTATTAGATCAAACATTGAACTTTTTGTTGTGTTAGGACTTTTTTCCTTTGAATCTTTTGATGTTATGAAAATCATCATTCATTGGCTTTTTAGAATTCAGTCTAATATAGTATTCCCTCCGTTTCAATTTATGTGAACCTATTTGATTGGACACGGAGTTTAAGAAAAATTGTTTGCTTTCAAATTTAAAAAGGGGTCATTCTTTTTTGAACGGACCAAAAAGGAAATGAGTTCCATATATGTTCCTTATTTTATAAAAATATCAAATGAAATTCAAAAGGAAACCTCCTCAATGCTGAAAGGTCAAAAAGATTAGTATAAATTTTATCTTTACGACAGAGGCTCATTCCTAAATTTCCTTCTTTACCCTTTTTTTCTTCCACTGATTAATGTTGACAACTCAAATTACTAGGAAGATCCAAATTATTGCTCATTAAACTAGGAGAATACTTAAGGTCAACATCCTACTAATTAAACCAAGAAGATCTTTTTAGGAATCATGTCATATGCTACAATAACTTTATGTTTAAGATGCCTTTAATAACACAAATATTTAATGTATTTTGATTGAACATTTTATTGTCTGATCAAGCAGACTAAACTAAGGTTCTTGTTATCATATGCTAAATGAACCTAGGATGATCATCTACTAGTTGACCTATTCAGGTTCTAATTTAACTACTACAGGATGATTCATCACAATATTCTGTGCTGTAAAGTAGAATTAGTTCACCAACTATATTAACAATTAAAGAAAATTGTTTACACAACCCAACTAACACATGACTTGAGATCATAAGTTTTTTCCTTTAAAAAATCTATTACATTGAGAGATCAAGGAAGGAGAAGGGAAATACTCCCTCCGTTCATTTTTAGTTGTCAAGTATTCTAAAAATAAATCTTTATTTTTACTTGTCACTTTTCGCATATCAAGAGAAAAAAAATTTATTTTTCTTGTCTTGCCCTAGCATTAATTACTCATTCCAAATCATTTTCCAAATTCATTAAGACTATACACCAATTAATATAGGTATCATGGTAAATTATACACTTTATTTATTGTATTTCTTAAGGGATGTGCAAAGTTCATAGTGGACAAGTGAAAATGAGCAGAGGGAGTAGTAAGAATTAAACTCACACCTATTGTATCGACTATTTCAATCGATATCTTGACTAGACCGTAAACATTGGTGGTTAACTAACACGACTTGATTTTTGATGATTTACTGATATGACTTTTCTTGCTTTAAATAATGAAATGTAGTATACATTTTAAATTGCCCCACGATCATGGAGCTAAGTCCTATGGTGAAAGTGTTTGAAAAAGCAAACCTTTGATTACATGGTTTAATGGAATAAAGTCAACAAGAAAACTCAGCCACTTTTTATCTACTTCTTCAGGTGGTCAAAATGTTATACCTTAAAGTGCAGACTATTGACAACTTAAGTTCTAAGTAATCTCACTCCAGTCGCGCCAAGATTGGAGTTGAATAATACTCTACAAATTTTCATTTTATTTAACGTTTTTGTACTTATATCTAGTGGCATTTATCCTCTAGTAAGGAGTGTCATTCAACACTGGTAAAATATATTTCTTATGTATGTATATAAATTTTGTTTTTCCAAAAAGCAGTACGTGTACATATAATAGACCCACAACGCATGCATAAAACAATATAAAGTAAATATCAATTTCAAACAGGAAGTAAAACCTTAAAATCACTATATATGATCCTAGATCTACAAGTCAGATAGTCCGATATTGCTTAGAAAAATCTTCTTCTTTTTTTTTTGGTTAAGTTAAACCAGAGTAGTACAGGGAGTGTTTGAAACTATAGAAACTAACCTAAGGGGGCGACCCAGTGATGGGTCGTTAGAAAGGAGGGACCTAAGGGAATTACTATTACTACTACTATTAATATCCATACTTCTTGAGATACAAAAAGATTGGTTAAGAGAATTTTGTGAACCTGTAGCGTGCTGAAGAACTGGTGGTGTAACCCTTCTAATAAAAAGTATGCTTGAGCGATCATCCTCCAAAGCCGGTTATACAAAAAGCGGGGTTTGTGCAAAAACAATGATTCCGGTAGTGTTATCCATATGGCAACCATACTTTTGTAGCAAATCAGCTACTTGGTTTTGCTCCCTGTATGTGTAACATATGATACAGCAGCTCAAGTAAAAACCTGCAATCATGTATAGGGTTAGCATAAAGAGGGTGCGAGATCTGTAATATATTAATTACTATTTGAGTGTCTAGGTTCACTTTGAGAGGCTTGTATCCATGGTTATAAGCCAATTGCAATCCATGATAAAGCGCACATAGTTCAGTTTCAACACTCCCATGAGAGATGTGACGTCCTGAAAAGCCGATGAGCCAGTTACCCGTGGAGTCACGTAAGACACCACCAATCCCCCCTGGGCCTATATCAAAGTGGGCTGAACCATCAGTGTTAAGTGTGAAAGGAGTAGTGTGAGGTGGGTACCATTGAAGTTGTATGGATAAACAGCTATGTGAGGACGGTGGTAAAACAACAATATGGAAAAATTTGGTCGCCATGTTGAGGATATGAGAGGAAGAAAACGGTTTTAACGGTGAGCGAAAAATTATGACATTTCGAGCTAACCAAATATGCAGAGACAGAAAGGTATAAGTATGGAATATGGGATGTTCAGGGTATTTGGAACATCAGTGTGTAAGATAAGTTGTTTTAGCCATTGAAGAGGGGAGTCGTCAAGCCCCTGGAGTCCAGCAAGGTTCGAGAGCATGAGTAGGTTAGTCCAAATTGGTGTGTTTACTGGACATTCTAGGAGTAGATGTCTAATAGTTTCTGGACTAGTGTGGCATCGGGGACAAATATTTGTGTTTAGTATGCTGAGATGGTGATAATATGCAGCAGTGGGGAGTCGATGATGGCTGCAGAGCCAGAGGAAATGTTTAATTTTGGGAGGTAGCTGAAAAGTTTCCAGATCCATGTGAAGGAGTGACGAAAGGGGAACGAGAGTAAATGGTGGTAGAGTGATTTGGTGGTGAAGGTCCTATGCTTCGTGAGGGCCCAAGCATAGGAGTCGGGGGAAGTGTATAGGTAGGGATATGTATACTAAGAATATTCTGTAGCAGTGGAGGTGGTAGTTCAAATGGGATGGATGTAAAATCTCATTGACCATGGGATAAATAGGTAGAGACCGTATTAGTATGTGTATTACGGGAAGGTGCCCAATTAAGGAATTGCGAATGGGCGTACTGGAGGTAACCAAGAGTCTGTCCAAAAGTTAATAAGAGTGCATTACTGAGAATCCATTGTGTTCCGTATTGACACAGGTGCCAGCCAGTAATAAAGTTATTCCAATTTTAAGAGCCACCAGTGATTGCACTACGTCTGTGATAAAAATATTTGTGTAGGAGTGTGGAAGCCCATAATGAAATTGGTTAACTGAGTAATCGCCAAGCTTGACTGGCGAGTAAGGTCTGATTTTTTAGTTGGAGTTGTTGGATGCCTAGGCCACCATCTTTCTTCGAGGTAGTAACTTTTTGTGGGGACAACTTCTAACAAGAAAAAATTCATCTTACTTAGAAAAATCTTGTGTATGTGTATATCAAAAATATGGTACACTTCATGTAAAACATGAAAATCACCACGAAATTGATTGAGGCATCTAAAAACCAAGTCCAAAAGGGTGTATTGTGCCATGAATCTTAGGTTAAAACAATCTCATGTTCTTCCAATGTAAGCTACATGTGTCAAAGCACAAATTTAAATTAAAAAAATTCCTTCAACATAATGAATATCAGTGTATAGGTTAAATAGGACTTGTTCGATTTTGCCATTTAATCAAAGACCAAGGAATCACGTCGAGGGTCAGTCCCATAATGGATCGGGTCAGCGCACGAAGATAAACTATCGAGATCGAGAATCGAGGTGCTCGCCGAGATCGAGACCAACAACGATCGAGACCATATATGACAGACTTCGAACGAAGCGCGATTACGGCAAGGCGAGATATCCGTAACCGGTCGAAGATCACGGCGGAAATCTCGGAACAGATCAGATCAAGGGCGATTGTTTAGGCTTATCATGGAATTTACTTCTGTAGTTAGAATTATACCATAATTAGGACTCTTCTACTATATAAAGAGGAGTGCCCATCATTTGTAGACACCTTACATTCACACAGATAAAAGCAATATAATATTCTCTCTTCAGTTTACATTCTCTTGTTTATCAGCTCGTTACATTTTAACTGTTCTTACATAACTAGCTCGAGGGTATCCGAGCTCGAGGGCTCTGTCCAAATGCTGGTTTGCTTTATATTATTGTCAATTCCCATTGTTCATCTTCATATTTATCCATTAGTATTAGGTGAAATCACGTATCCTTAAAACCACGTTATAAGTTTAATTGTTATCCGATTTTTAGGGTAAACAGTTTGGCGCCCACCGTGGGGCTAAGGATAATAGTGATTGCCTAGTATTAATCGTCATAACACACACTGCTTTTACACTTGTTCTCGTAAGTGTCTTTGATTTCAGGAATCAACATGTCAAACTCTCAAGTAGTGCCCACCCACACAGACACCGGCCTTGGTGTTCATGGCGAGAACAAGCACATAGTCACCCCGGGAAACGGAGTACCTCCAATCAATCTCGATGGACTATAGGCCGTAGATCCAGTCGATGTCAATTCTCGTGTTGCGATTTATGGAAATTTAGGTGCCGATCCTGAAAATAGCATCCGCAGAGACGCCTGGGCAGCCGATCAGAACGCAGAGTGGTGAAGAAGACAGGATTAGCCTTCGAATGATATTTGAAATGTTGCAGACTCAGCAAGCAGCTCCAA